ACTCTGACCTATTTCCATCTGCTTCAGTGGACTTCAGTTTCTCACTGCCAAGCTGGGCTCATGTGGTGAACTCAGAGCTACATCCTGGGAATGAAGTGGGGTTTATTTATCAAATCAAGCTTTTCTGCGGAAGCAGGCTCTGTGTTTACACCATTCATGCACTCAGCAAATATTGTCCCTATTATAGACGAGGCCAAAAGTAAACCGCATGCTGCAAAGTCTGTATTACCACAGGTTTTCAAGCCTAGGGATGCTTAAAAAATTCCCCCTGAACTCTGTTCTCCATTTTCATGACTCTGGACTTACACAGCAAATTTACCACTGTTGACCATCTCTTTTCTTATTAAAAGAAAAAAAGAAAGAAGAAGCCATTTCGGATTACAGAAGTAATGCATCCCCAATATTGGAAATACCATGAAGAATAAATAAGATAAACAACCACCCATAATCCCACCTCCCACGGATAAACACTATTAACATTTTATTGTATTTCCTTCCAGTCTTTTTATGCTTTTCAAAGTGGTTGAAATTTTACTTTATAACCTTTTTCTATCTTGCTCTTTTACTTAATGTTATGTCATTAAGCATTTTTCCATGTCGTTAAAGAGCATTTCATAAGCATCATTTACAATGGTGACACAATATTCCATCTTGTACAGGCAGTTCAATTTGCTTAGCCATTCCCTAAAATCCAACATCTAAGGTTTTCTTACCCATAATATTTTAGTGTTGTGAATGATACCATGATGAACATATTTTGTGCATAAATCTTTGTCCACATGTCAGATTATTTTTCTGGGAGAAATAATCAGATCTAAAACTTATCAATTTGCTTTCCAGAAATATTGTACCTCATTTTCATTCCTTTTGATAATCTATGTGGGTTTCCAAGGCCTCACTTCTCTCCACTGGGCTAGATGATTTTTATTAAAAAGAAATCTTTCTAGCTTTACAGGTCAAAAGATATCCATTTTTGTTTTGATTTGAATATTTTATTAGCAGTATGGTCAAATAAACATGATAATATTTATTAGCTATTTTCCTCTCCTCTTTTTAAAAATAGTTTGTGTATCTTTGATCTTCCCCTTCTTTCTAGGTTCTCTCTTCTGTCTGGAATTTTACCTGCAGAATATGTTCTCCAAATGAACAACAAACAAGAATTCAAGAGAAAACAAGTCTTCAGATTGAAATACAATGAGCTTTCATGCTATGCTCTCTGTAGAAAAGATGTCTTGATAATCTATTGCTATTTAGCAAGCTGCTGTAGAGCTTCGTGGCTTAAAAAATCATTTTATTTTATTCATGATTTTTTGGTCAGAAACTTAGGAAAGGCTTGACTGGGAGGTCAATCACTAACCAGTGTGGCATCTGCCGGAGCAGCTGGGCCTGGAGGATCCATTTCCAAGATGGCTCCTTTGCGCACACGTGTGGCGCCCTGGTGCAGATGGCTTGGAAGGCTGGTTTCAGCTGAGACTCTTGTCAAAATCACCTGCAGGTGTCCTTGCCAGCATGGTGCCCTCAGGGAAGTTGGACTTCATTCAAGGATGTTCAGAGCTTCCAGAAAGAGTGGTCCTGTATACAATATGTAGAAACTTCTGGTTTCTTAAAGGTTGGGCAGGAAAACTGGCCCAGCATCACTTTTTGCTATTTTCTGTTGGTCAAGACAGCTATAGAATATGTATATATCCAGAGGGGCCACATAAAGCCTATCTCTTAATTGAAGTAGATTAAAGAATTAGCAGCTATCTTTACTCTACTATGTAAGTAGACTTCTAAATCTAAGTATGGATGTTGAGAAGTTTGTAAAAAGTCTCAAAGAAGGTATTAGGAGTAGCCAAATTCAAACTTATGAATATTATTGCTCACATGTCATTCCTGAAACATTTAATTCCTCCAGGGAAGGGGCTTATCTTGGCAATAGGGATGTAGTCAGACTGCACATGAAATGATACAAAAGTTCTAGATTGGAAGCATATAGCAATCATCCCTCTCCATTAACACCTCCTGACATAACTGTGTTCACAGAGGGCAACTAGGTGGGAAGTAAATGAAAAAGTCTCTCTCAGAGTCAACAACAGCATTGGGTGGTAGATTATACATGCTAATATGCTGAATTTAAAAATCCTTATCTTTCCCAGACAGGTGACCTGGCGTTATTAGCAGAACTTGTGATGTTAAGTATGAGAGGCTGTTCATCTACTAGGAATTTAGCCATTTTCCTGACATGGGTGAGGTTGGCCCAATAAATTCCTGGATGAAGATTCTCTTGGATTTCGTAATGTGACAGAAAGGATTCCTTTGCTTCACTTCAGTTCCATATTCTACAGTAACAAGATCCATCAGACAACCTAACAGCTCCTGTCAATTCACCGGCATGATCAGAATGGGGAACGTCCCATCCAACCATCCATCCCTCCATCCCCCAGCCATCTATCCACCTGTCTATCCATCCATTCAGTCAACAAGTACCTACTGAGAATCTCCCCGCTGTATGGAGATATAATGGTAAATTAGATAGATATGGCCCCAGTGCTCATGAAATTTTCCTCAGCACCAAATCTCAGGCAGACAGCAGGTAGGGAAAAGGTAATTTTTTGGGTACTTCCTGGGGGCTGTGGGTGGTGAACATGATCTGCTTTCTTCCTCACACTTGAGACCCAGGGATTAATACTTGTCCTTTCAAGGAGAGGAATCTGAACCTCAGAGAAAATTGAGATTGCTGAAGATCATGCAACCAGTCAGTGTCAGAGCTGGGGTGTGAACATCTGACTCTGGAGATAATATCATGGGTTACAGGAAGAGGACAGCAATCCTTTTGACTTCACAAGTATCTGTGTTCCATCACTGCCTTTCACCTAGTGTTAAAGAGCGACCCACTTTGGGAAACTTGCTTTCATGGGCGTCCTCTGAAGGCAATGTAGAACAGGACTGATTGTTCTGCTTGGGGAATCAGGAGACCTGGGGTTCTCACCTTGGTGCCATGTAACCATGGCAACTCTTCCTTTCTCTGACTTTGGTCTAGTTTAGGCAAGCGCTACAACCATAACATTCAATAATGGGACTGAGCAGGCAGGAATAAAGGATGGCAGGAATAAGAGCAGATTCCTATTTTGTGCTGGCTCCAATCTGTGATTGGCATGGATGTGGGTAAGGGAGCTGGACACAGTCATGGGGGATGCTGGTCACAGGTGGAGTGTCAGGGTCCCACCAAGTAGTCCAGCCTTCCATGGAGGGAGGCGGGGACACAGGAATGTCACTGGACAATGAGACACTAAGTCTGGAATATGGACGATTCTGTTTAACAAGTAGCTATTCAGTGGTAACTGTGTGTGTTCTGCTTACTCTCAGGAGCAAATACATGGAGTTTTCACTTGTATGATGCTTCCACAAGAGGAGGAGACACGACTAATAATCACATGAAGAAACCAGCTTGACAAACTGTGACTTTGACGGCTAGCACAGGGGACAATGAGATGGCAGCATGGGCGTGGTCTTCTCTGGTTTGGGATTGGGTGTTGGGGACTCTGATGAGACTCAGGTTTGGACCCAGGAGTCTCCTCTCATCTCTACCCAAATCCTCTTGGTTTCATTCCATTTCTCTCCTATGTGTTAAACACGTCTCACATTTCACCACATGGTGTGTGTATGGCTTTTCCTTGTCTCTGCTCTCTCAGCCCTTTCCATCTGGGTGGGTTCTTTCATCCTTTAAAAAAACCTTCTGGACATTTATCTCCCATTGTTATTTCAAACATTGGTTATCTTCACTTTCATTTTTTGGTTTTGTGTCTCCTCTCTGTACATAACATGCCTATGTCTGTATCCATCACATTTAGCTTTTCTTTTAGCTAATTAGTTCTTAGCTAATGAATTTTTCCTTCAGAAAAAATTTTCTCATTGATGTATCAATTTTTCAGTCATTTACCCCATCATGTATAAATTATATATTCCACTTGAAGTATTTCTGCTTGTATCTTTCCCCCCATGAAAAGTAGTGTTTGCTGGAGATCCTTCTCAGAAGGAAGGTTCCCAGTCTCCAGAGTGTGGCATGGAAGGGGTGGAAAGGGCTACGTGAGGTGCGTTAGCCTTTTCTTTGCCTTTCTTAAGCATGGGGCTCCCATGTCTCTACCATTTCACTCCTTAGGACACCAGGTGTGAGTCCACATTAAAGGTAGGAGTGACACTATGTACCTAAGACACACATGCAAAGAGAGGATGGAACCTGTTCTTATCCTCTTTTTTTTTTTTTTTTAATGGTACTGGAGATCAAACTTAGGACCTTGCTCTTTCAAGGCAGGCACAGTGCCACTGAGCTAAATCCCTGGCCCTGGTTTCCTCTTCTGTCTGCCACAATCTAGTTGGGCAGGCTTGTCTCGTGGTTAAAACCACACTCCCCGGCTGAGCGGTGTCTCACCACTTGTTTGTTAAACAGTCTTCTTCACCATGCAGCCCTTTCAGTGGAGGGGCTTCAGTTGTGGGAGAGCTACCCTAACCACCCAGCTTTGTCTCCATCCACCCCACACCTCTCGGAGTTCCCTACACATACGTCTTCCTATCCTCTGCCTTTGCCCACACTCTTTCCCACTGTTGCCCCAGGAGTTCTTCCCGACCAGGCCTGGCAAGCAGCTGCCTATGCTCTGCAGTTCAGCTTATGTGCTCTCCCCTCCCCAAGTCTGACTTTCGTGATGATAGTTGTTAACAACTGACCGGTGTGGAGCTCTTGATCTTGGCCAGGTCCTCTGCTGAACACTTTCCATTCATTTCTATTTAGTTCCCACCACAACCCTGGCACAGGCTGGTTAAGTGACTCAAAGAGTCACTACCAAGACAGTGCTGGTGCAGAGATGCAAGTAGCCGTCTGGTGCCAGAGGCTGTGTGTCTGAGCATCTGATCTGCTGCCTCCTGCTTTCCCCAGGACTCGGGTCTCGCTCCTAATTTCTCTGGATCATCGTTAGCTGTCTCTGCCACTGTAGATGTGTCTGGGATTGGGTATCCTGTTTCTCTCTACCGCTCTTTCCCTCATTCTGTCCACAGTGTAGCATAAAGCCTGAGTTGAAGAAAGTGAAAAACTGTATGGATTAATCAAGTCCCGCTCACAACAGATGCCTATCAGCTCCAAGCGAGACTTTGACCTCTGTAGAAATCGACAAGCAAACAAGCAAGCAACCAACTGAACCACCCAGCCATCCACACACCAGTCAACTGGCCAGCTCCATAACCTAGTTCAGGAGGCGCCGAGGAGGGTGACGTTCTTGTCATAGTTTACATATGGCCCTCAAAAATCAGTTAATTCAACAAACAATGGTAAGCACTGCTCTGAGCTTTGACTTGTCGATTTGGCCTTATAGATTTCTTTGAAAGTTTCACCTCTACTTTGTGACGCTATCTTCCCTGTGAGGAAACAGGTGTCAGAGGCTCTCCAGGGACAAAGAGGCTTCTGGTGCTTGACAGCAGATGACTGCAGAGTCCGGCACCACCCCTCCAAGACCACAGATCTTTGCTTCAGAAACAACGCTGGATTCTCCAAGTTTATGAACAAAAGATAAACTATTCATGAGCAAATAGCAAAACTGAGTAAGCATGATACAAAATTAATAAGACATACATTTTAGAGTAAAGGAATTAGTAATGAACTACTATTTACTACAGAGAATATTGTTTGGTGATCATCCGATGTCAGTTTGATGTTATTGCTTGAGAAATGACTGTGGTTGCTGAAATGAGATTCGGAGTTCATGTTCCTTCATTTCTACTGGTGTTTTCTTTGATTCTCTTGGCTCAAGTTAGAAGCAGAGTTGTTAGGTAAAAAATGGCCTATGCCATTTAGGAACCATTTTTTGTTTGTCTGTTTTTTGTTTTGTTTTTCTTAACAGGATCTCACTATGTAGTTCAGGCTGACCTTCAACTTGCAGTGATCCTCCTGCCTCAGCCTCCCAAATCCTGGAATAACAGGTATATGCCAGCACTCCAGGAAAGCGACAGACTTTCTTTACCTCAAGTCCTCTTCCTTCCTTCCTTCCTTTCTCCCTCCCTCCCTTCCTTCCTCTTTCTCACTCTTTCTCTCTCCCCTTTTCTCCTTCTCTCTCTCCCTCTCTGTCCCTCCCTCCCTCCCCCCCCTCCTTTCATTTTCTCCATAGCCATATTAACACTGACCTCCTGCCCTTAACTAAGCTCTCATAGAAAGCAATGATGAACACTGTTGGTTGCTCATTCAGTTCTTTTCTTTTCTTTTTTGCTGATTCACTCTTGATTTTGATTGGGGCTGATGTGCCAGCACCAGATGAAAGTCAGGACTGAGCCAAGGTAATCATAGCGATCGGTCTTGGCAAATACATGTGAATGAGATGTTAGGGTGAGTCCACTGGGGGAGGGGTCTGAGAATGATTTTCCTGTTGTAGGCGAGTGACATGAAGGAGTGAATGGCCCTTTCCTGACTCTTCCTCTTCTTTCCGGTGTTGGCCACTGTCCTATGAGTGTTGGGAGATCACTTTGGGCCTTTTGAGACCTAGACAGGAAGACCATGAGCTGGACAGGAAGGTCTGACCCAGAGCTCTGATGCCACTGAGCTGCTGGATAAATCAAGCGTGGTCCTAAATCTGGAATTCTTTATATGTGAAATGATTATCTTTATTGCTGAATGAATACATGTCTTTCTTAACTATCTTTATTGTTTGCCGGCTTATTCTGTTACTTGCAGCTGAATGCATGCCAACTAATACAATGGGTCCAGAGGCTACGCCTTGGTTCTCCCTCCATATGTGTGTGCCCCATGGCACATTCTCTACAATTCTTCCCCTTGCCTCTGTATAGGGTCTTGCTCCTACCAAAGGCATTGTTGTCTCATTTCAACAGAATGGGAAGCAGGCCCAGAGAGTGACTGTTTTCCTGGAAAATGATTGTGGTGCTTGCCATAACTTCTTAGATTTTAGTTGCTATAATTTCTCCTGGGATTGCAGAAAATAGAGAGGATTCAGACTGACACTTCCCGTGCAAGATGTGACACTGTCCTTTATGAAGATTGTGGCACTGGTAAGAAGACTCATTAGCCATGGTGGTTAATTTTATGTGTCAACCTGATCAGGCCACAGGTGCCTAAATATTTGTTTAAATATTGTTCTAGGTGTTTCTGACAGGTTGTTATTGTGAGACGAATGTTTAAATCGATAGACTAAGTAAAGCAGATTGCCCTCCCTAATGTAGGCAAGCTTCATCCAATCAGTTGAAGAAAGCCCTGAATAGAACAGAAAGCTGCTTTCCCCCATAAAAAAGAATAACTCCCTCCTGACTGCCTTTGGACCAGAACATCACATTTTCTTGTTTTTTGGCTTGTTATGGTTTAGAGCTGAAATGTCCCCTCAAAGGCTCATATTTTCTGATATGAAGCTTTCAGAAGATGACTGGATCATGAGCGCTCTAATATCATGAGTAGAATAATTTGCGGGTGAGGTCATGGGAGGTAATGAAAATTTGGAATTTTGCTGAGGTGAAGGGAGTGGATCATGGGGCTGTAACCTCAGGAGTGTATCTGGTCTGTGGCCCCTTCCTCTCTGTGACAGAGCTCAGAAGTGCCAGTGTTCTTCCCTTATCTGTTTCCTGGCTACAACGAGATGAGCAGTTTTACTCGGCCATGCCCTGCCGCCGTGATGTTTCTGCCTCATAATAGACCTAAAAGCAATGGAACCAACAGACCATAAACTGAAACCATGAGCCAAAACAAACCTTTCTTCTGGTAAGTTGATTTTCTCGGATATTTGGTCACAATGATGAAAAACTGACTAATACAGGCCTCAAGCTGAAATATCAGCAAATCCTAGGTTTTGAACTTGTGACCTTCAGACTGGAATTACACAGTCAGCTCTCCTGGGTCTCCAGCTTACTAAGTGCAGATCTTGGATCTTGTTAGCCTCCGTAATTGCATAATCTACTTCCTTATAATAAATGTCTTGTTATACCTATGTATAGCTCCATGATTTCGTTTCTCTGGAGACCCCTGGCTCATGTGGGAGTCTTCCCACTGTGTGGCAAGCAGAGGTTTCTTTATAGCAGAACAAGGAAAAGGGAGCCCGCACTTTCTGTGTGGACTCTGCTGGGCACAGGCTGGGTATTTCTCATGCAGGATCTCAGGTCATCTTCTCACAGCCCCAAGGGGGTGGTCCTGCTCTAGTCTCTCATCAGTGTGGGGGAACAGGCTCAGAAAAGTGGAGCCATTTGCTATGGCCACATGGATTGTAAAGGCAGAAATGAAATCTGTGGGTTATTATATCAAGGGCATGCTGGAGAAATTTGTGGGACAGCACTTTTTTTGCTTTTTACACCCAATTCATTCTTTTTTTTTCAGCTTTAATTGAGTTTATTGGTACATTTTAGGGATACAGTACAGTTACATTCGTTGTTGGGATCTTGTACCTCTTCATGACAAGTCTTGATTCTCGTTTTTTCCCCTTACCCCTGCCCTCCCTTCACCCCCTCCTCCCCTCCAATTCATTCTTAAGGAAGCCATCTGCTCTCTTTTTGGACCTGAGACCTAAGTCACCTATCCAACTAAGGGTTCTGCTTTGTTCTTCTCATTCACTCAGAAGTCTGAGTCATTTACAAGTGCAGCTCCTTGGCAAACCCCTGTGACTTTTGCAGCATTTCTAGTCAAATGCCAAGAATTCACTATCAGCCCCATGTGAGATTCTTCTGCCTGCACAACCTTCCCCTCCTTTTTCTTTGTATTCTTTTTTGTTTTAGTCTCAACCTTCCCCACCTTATTCTTTCCATCCATGAAAGCAATTTTAGCTTCATGAAACTAATTAAAGTTTTATGTGTCTACATTCCTTTACTGGGCTGATTGCTGATCCCTGAGATTGAAATGGAATCACGCCAAGAGGAAAACATATTTAGGACTTTCTTACAAGCGTGAAGTTGTATGCATTTGTGAGGTACTCAAAACAATCAGCCTACTTCTTGGAGTGGGGTCCACTGAGTTTATTAAGAGAACCCAACTGCTTCAGGACTGGGTCTGTATGATGCTGAGTTAGGCATATGCCAGTGAGTACACAAAACAAAACTTTTTTTTTGGTACTGGGTATCGAACTCAGGACCTTGTGCTTGCAAGGCAGACACAGGGCCACTGAGCTAAATCCCCAGCCCAAGAAAATGTTTGTAGAATAGTGAAAATGAACAAATGAATGAAGAACTTAGGATTAGTCATAGTAAAATTTTAAAGTGCTATTGATAAAATATTATTTATGAGTACTTACCATGTGTCTGGGATGTTACAAATCATTTTACAACCATTACCTCACCTAATCCTTCCTTGGGGAAGTTTAAAATAAATATCACTCCCTATATTAGCAGATAATGAAATTGAGATGCAGAGGATTTAAGAACTTACCTGCTTATACTCAACAAATAACTGGACTGAATGGGATTGAAAAGAAAACATTCTTTCCTTTTTGAGTACATTGTGTTATCTGTTTGCAGTGACTCCCCTGCCTTTGCCATTGGTAGAGGGTCTGTCCCCACCCAGGACTCTGGACTTGGCCAGGTGGCCATCTTCGGCCAGAGGTGTGTGAGTGAATGTGAGCTGCACCACACCTGAGCAGCAGGTTTAAAGACTTGTGTGATTTGGTTCTGCCTCTCGTGTGTGCCTTTCCTCCGCCTGAGACTCTCATGTCTCCAGTAAATGCTGCTCCACTTCTCCTAGGTCCCAGAATGAGATACATGGAGCAAAATTGAGCAGCTGCATAGAAGTCGCCCATAGCCAGCCAGGCGCGATGTAAACATGACACACACATTTGTCAGATAAGGTATTGAGATATGTGGATTAGTTGTTACTGCAGAAAATCCTGACTAATGCAGTCTCTATGTAATGGAGATTATTCTACATTCTTCGAAGAGATGGAATACAAAAGAGGAGTGGAAAAATTTTCATTTGATTGAGACATAGGCAAAGTGTATTCCAGGAGACAGAACCTGAGCGAATAAAGACATGGAAGTTGGAAGACACATTACGATACAGGACCAATGAGAAGACGGTTTTATTGGAGAACCTTGTTCCTATAGGGAATGAAGGGTGACAGCTGGAAAATCAGACCATGAGGGCAGTGAGCCACATTCTAGGAAGAATGGATATTTTCTTACAGGTACTGGAAGGGGAGCCACTGGTGGTTTATAAAAAAGAATATGGCACATTCAGGAAACTGCTCATGTTTTCCTGCCATACGTGGAGAAACATTGCTGGTCACGTTTCCCTGGATCTGATTCCTGGCTTATCCTGTAAACCTGTTACTCTAGCTACAGCGTTTGCCAGCAGCTAGAAAGCAGATTTCTTTCCACCTTTATCTGGTGTCTATCAGGGTGGGTGACTCTGCTCTGCTCAGAGGAGGGAAAATTGAAGCTGCCTCAGGAATAATAATAGTGTTTTTTTCTATTTTTTCATACAGTGTTCCAAATCCTGTTCATATGTGTTGAGCAGGGCAAGGTCTGAGGTGGGGGACAGAGAGGAGGCCAACATATCTTAGTATGTGCTGGTAGGGTTGGGTGCAGGGCTGTGCAACCTGCCGACTCGAACAGGAGCCTGTGCTGAGGGTGGCCTGGGACTGGATTCAATGCTCTTCAGCCTCATCTTGAAATTTCTAATGCTTTTTGAACAAAAGACCCTGCCTTTTATTCGTTATTGGGCTCTACACATTACGTAGCCAGTCCTGAAGTGTTGGGCCTTATACTAGGCACTTGACACACTTTACTTCATTTAATACTCCTAATCACCTTGAGAGGTAGGGATGATCACTGTAGTCTTATTGTTGTGGAAACTGAAAAGCAGGGAGTTTAAGAGGTTTACTCGAGGTCACACAACTGGCACGTGAGTATGGTGTCTCCAAAGGCAACTTTCTTTCCAACTTTTAACTTGAGCTCCCGACAGTCTTGTTGAGGTCAGAGTTATTACTCGAGTTGACACTCAAAGCTGAAGTACGTGGAAGAAAAGTGACCTTTCTACAGGCAGTCAGCAGCAGTGCGAGATAGGCGGAGCTCTTTCAGTCCACGACTCCTTGAAGTCTGAGTGTGCAGTCTCTGTCTTG